CCTCACAATTCTGAGCCAAAGGTTTGAACGGTCTTCATTTTTACATTTATTACAAAATCTAAATTTAAAAAAAATCTTCTGGGATTTTAAAAGAACATTTCAATAGAAAAATCTGATTTTGGAACCAATCCCAAATTATTTTAATGATATTGAATTGACTGCAGTACCTAAAAGGCCCACAAGAGGGCTGGGGACAATACTTAAGGGATTGCTGCCGTCAATGAACCAAAGAAACTGTGTTTGTTCTTTGTCTAAGAAAAAAAGAAAAAGAAAAAACACTGGGTCCAAAACATTTTCTTTTTTTTAAATGTCATTGAAACAGTCAGTTCAAAGTTTGGGTAACAAGCTCCCTCTACCTTTCTGTAATTTTACAAATCTGTGTCAGATTAAGGAGCTGTGGGTGACGGGTTTCACTGGTTTATTACAGCAGTGTGGAAAAACAGAGCTGTTATATGGCTTGCTTTTCTTTACATTTATATGTTAAAGATTTATTAAATATGACATTTTTAGGTTACATTTTTAAATTTTTAGAATTTTCTTTATAGTGAAAGAGAAGAGAATCTCCTGAAGGTGTTTTTTGCCTCTATAGTTAATTATCTAACAGTCTTAGTGGTCCAACTATTCCTGATGTCAAAACAGGCTGTAAGTGGCCTATGAACTAAATAAGAGATGAAATAAAAGCAACAACATAAAGTGGGAAAAAAGTGATTTAAACCATTAATATAATGAGTCACTTAAAAACTGTGATGGTTTACCATTATTGTTTAGAGTGCAGCCTCACCTCTGGTATTCCTGATCCGCATGCGTACGGAGCAAAGGCTCTGACCAGTATGACAGCCAAGAAGGAGAACATCAGAGCCCAAAATATGTACATCAGGTAGTTCATGATGTAGGCAAAGGGACCCTGCAGAGGCACAAATAGCACACACACACACACACACACACAGACACACACATGAAGTGACAAATGATTTCTGAAAAATGAATAAATAAACACAACATAAAGAAACATAACATAAATAACTAAGCAGTGATTCGTTTTGTGGAAATCCTGAAGTCACAGTGGTTTAGATTTTGCACCATGACAGTTTTCAACCAGTAGATGGAGCCATAGCAGCACTGAAGCCTGAGGAACAGTCAACAAATCTCAAACTCAAGGCTTGGGATTACACTTCATTCACACATTTGGAGCCAAGAAAATCCCTCAAAAACAATTCTGAGAATAACAACTGCTACCAACTAGAAATTGCACACATCAAAATCAGCAGAAAGTTTTAAAATCTTCTCCTACCTCTGACTTTCCTGTTATGAGCTCAGCCCAGCTCTGCCACTGTGGACACCGGTCCCTCTCCTGGAACGTGGTCTCGTTAGACAACCAGCAGCAGTGCTCGTGGTTGAACCAGAAGCCTCGGAGACACAACCCTCCCTTCACGTCCGTCATCCAGTGGGCTGAGATGTCGATGCCGCCGGCTAGAGCACCTGAAAACGTTGAGAAGAAAGACAACAAGAAAGAAAAATCTGTAAGATAAAGACCCTAAAATAATAGAGAGAACCCCCAACAATCAGACAGCTCCCCCTATGAGTAAGCACTCGGTGACAGTGGGAAGGAAAAACTCCCTTTTGACAGGAACAAACCTCTGGCAGAACCAGGCTCAGGGAGGAGCAGCCATCTGCTGTGGCCAGTTGGAGGGTTAGGGGAGGACACGAGAAAGACACACTGTGGAAACACTGGCTTCAGCAGACTCTCCATTTGTTTCAAGTCTAAAACAGATCGTGCTCCTCTTCTTCGGAACAAACGGCCTGAGGAGATGAGGCCAAATCCTTGACCTCCTTTAAAGTTCATCTTAAACTCACTTTATATAGACTTGTATTCTGTCCTCTCAATACAAGTAATTTACTTTTACAGCCTTTTATTGTCCGGTTACCGCCTTAACTTGTCTGCGTTATTATTTCTGTTCCCTTGCTTGAGGTCTTAGCAGTAGCAAGGGAACAGAAGTAACAGTGCTCTGCATTTTCACTGAGATAAGCTACAATGATGAGTTTTAAAACGAGTTTTTGAGACAGAACAAATCTGGGCTAGAAGATAAGCCTGGTATTAAATGTAAGTGAGGAGAACTTTATTTTGACTGATACGTCTCACCCACATGATGGTACAATTTACACAAAATACAGGTTATTGAAGTTTCCTCCAGTGAATCATGAGAAAACATAAAATATCCAGGTCCCCATGTCATAGACATTAGTCAAACTTTGCACAGTTTTGTTTTATTAGATACGCTCACGTTATTGCACAGGGCCTGAAGAACGCTGTGCTTTTTCATGGAATCACACAATTTATTGTGATTGCTTGGTTTGCGCCTTACATTTTCCCTTTATTGTTTTAACAATCTCGACTTTTATGGTTGTTTGAATTTAGCCTCTGAGTACTCTGCATAACTCCGAGTTCTGTTTTTATAGGTGCTATATAGATAACGTTTATTATTTTTATTATGCATATCTGAGTGCGACCAAATGTCAGAGAAGTGGATCAGTGTAATCTGAACAAGTCAAGTTTACAACCCAAAGGGTCAACAAAAAGATTTTTAACCAACATTGCTAACATTCATTTCCTTTAGATATGTGCCGCCCCGCATATGTTCAGTGCTGTGCTCGTGCTACGTCGCGGCTCTAAACCCGTTTTCTGTCAACCCATGGGATATAATGTTCAACTGATGCAGGCAGCAATGAAACAAGAGAAAAAGTCTGAGCAAGTACAAACGCTTTCCATCAAAGTGCTTCAGACGCCTGAAAGCCTGGGAAGATCAGTTAAATAACTGTGTTTTTAAGAGCAGTGCCCTAAAGTCTGTTGCCACAGCAGATAATCTACCTCCATCTCACCCAATCCCCGCCATCCTTCTGTGTAACACAAACCATCTGCACGTCCTCCTTCACTTCTAATTACTGATCCCCATCTTTAATATCCTTTGTCCAGTATATCCAATATCCTTCATCTGGACAAGCCCAAAGCATCTCAGCCTTGCCTCTTTAACTTTGTCTCCCTACTGCTCAGGACCTGTGGTCCCAAATTCAGCAAAGATATGATAGCATTTCAATAACCACTCAGAATTTGAGCTGCTGCACTTAAGAGGGACCCAATTCAAAACGGCAGCGTATAAAGAATTTGCATACTTTATGCTGCAGTGTGTTTTTCAATTCACAGCATCTGGAGTTAGTTTGCTTTTCCTTCCTTATGATTGTGTCTACCTGTTATTGAAGAGAACTGTGGTAATAAAGCATTAATAAATGTATGTGTGGGGATGAGTGTGTGGAGTACCTGACATGAGTCCCACCAGCAGCATGAGCAGCCACCCTGAGAAGGCATCACTGATGCTGTGCAGCAGGGCCACAGTGGACTGTCTGCTCTTATTGGTGATCTGGATGAACGGAGAAATGAAAGAAATGAGAAAGTGAAAAATTTCTTCCATATCCTAAAAACATGACATTAAAGTCATTTGAATGACGCTGAGACCTCTGAAAATATACAGCTGGTCAAGACAAAAAGTGATGATTTATATTTAAGTACATTTATCTCATGTGCTGCTGTCTTGACGGCTCATGTAATAAGGCATGAAATCCAAGCTGCATCTGCACATAACCTCCATCGTCCCTGTTTCTACTCTAAAAAGTGTGGCGATACATAAACAACCCACATAATGCTAAATAAAACAAGCAACAGATCGAGATCAAAGTGATTCACAATCATAAACAAATTTAAAAAATAAATAAATCCAGTCCACAGGGATCAAATGACATTGTAGTGCATTTAATGTAAGTTTAGAAGCCGCAAACTCAAACACAAAGTCTTCTTTAGTTTTCAGTCTAGGACCAGGAACCAATAAGAGCTTTGATCAGAGCACCTCGATGAACCAACACCAAACCCATGGATGCAGGAGTTTGCTAATGTAAGCAGGCATATGAACATATCTGTCAAACAACTTCATGGGGAGAGTGCAAAGATGACAAAATAGATCCCCAATAGCATCACTTAGAGGACTGAGTAAGTAGTTGTTCGGGAGCTTTGTGGACCACTTATAAGTGATCTGAAGATGACTCACTGAGGCAACGAACAGTGACGCACCAAACACGAGGAAACGAAGCAGTAATCATTTGTATTTTTGATTTGGACACCATTTGACGGACCCAGATCTACCAAAAGAAAATTGACCTTGAACTGACGCTTGCTTTGGCACCCAGAGAGTACATTCCTCATCTTGTTATAGGTATGATAGTGAAATTCATCTAACTCCCCCCAAAAACATCCTTCCTCCTTACCTCCCTGTGCCTGTCCCGGTCTTTGCTCTTCTCTCTGACCCAGTCGATGGTGTTGAAGTCTTCATAGGTGCCCACTCCAGGCAGCGGATCCTCCAGGGGGTCAACAAGCCTGCTGGGGCCGTTACCGTTCATACCGGCTGTTCTGCTGGTGCCGTTACTCTCCTCGTAAACTGCTGAAAGCAAGGGACAGAAGGTACATTTGAGACAGAGCAATGAAGTCACATTCAAACACCTGTCGCTTCAGCACTTCCTGCAATGAGGCAATGATGGGACCACAGACTGATGTATACAGAATATAACCTTTCCGCTTTAGCTGTCACAACGTCAGCAGGACTGCAAGATTCAAGACATTTGAAGATTTATTAGAAAGCTTTACTCGTCTAGAATAACCAGTGTTAGCTTCATTTACTGAGCAGAGAAACTCAATTTAAATGCACATCAGTATAGGTCTGCCCTGAGGATGGAGGAAGAGGAAAGACCACAGGTTTATCTCATTAGGAGCACAAATTGCAGTAAATCTAAGAGTAGAAATTCAGGTTTCTGATATACAAGCAGAGAAAAGCTGTTCAGAAACATGTACCATCACCATTGTGCCGAGCTGGTGTAACTTGAAATACACACAGACACAAACTATCGCTCAATTCTTTTCCCGGGGACCTTCTGCATTCATTCTGACTCTACATGTTTATTCACGTAGTCCAACAGAGCAGCTTTGCATGAATAACTGTTCAAAACAATCCTTGTTTGTCTTACACTGTCAGAAATAAGCTTGTTTTTCACACTTTCCACTGTTTCACTAAAGCTTGGTGAGCAGTTAGTGAGTGTTTGCAGACAAGTCAGCATCTTCTAGGCAAATTACAGGCGACCGCTGGCAACCTGCTTTGTGATCAAAGCAACTTCAAGGAGTTTTTTCAGTGCAGCACTGCAAACCTCTTTGCAACTGATTCACTTATTGACATCAAGCAACCTCCAGCTACAACTTGTCAACCAACCAGGGATCACACATTTTCCTCAGTGACATGCGGCTGCTGGGAGGTTGTCAGCTGGTCTCTATGCCTGTGTGACCCTGAAACCTGATTTAATCCTACGTTGCAACCTTCTGGATCATTCAAGTCGTAGTATAGTTACATTTCTTGTAAGGAGCATGTCAAGTTACGGCATAAGGTTAAAAGGACTTTCTGGTTACGTCATAAGTTACAATGTAAGATTTCCTGCTAAAGCATAATTCAGGCCTAAATGTAGCAATGCAGCCATTTAAATCAGCTGTGTTGGATCAAAGACAGCTAAAACCCTGGGAGACAGTAAAAATATTACATTTAAAAAACACAAATTTGAAAAGTACCACAAAAAATCTTAAGTATTTCACATATATTAAAGTCTTCACAGCATTTAAGCTTGAGAGTGACAGAAATGTCTTTCTTACAGAAATAACACTTGTTCGTCAAAGATGAATGTGTCAACAGCAGCAAAATGAGTTCCTCCTTCTCTCAAGCAAAATCTGACTGCTGTATAAAATAACACACAGACACACATAGGCCTAAATGCTAAGAGTGGTAACCCCACGGCTGAGTCTTAATACAAAGCAAAGAAAAAGGGTAAAAAAAAAAAAAAACATTGCCCACAAAAGAGCAACAGGAAAAGTGCATTGTAGCCTGCTTCTATGATTTTGATAACACCAATCCTATACAATGCTGTATTGATGAAAGTCTGAGGGAAAGACACACAAGGCTCTGAGATCGAGTTCTGCTTTATTCTCTCAAGCAGCTCCAGAACAAAAGAGCCTGAGTACGTGGCAGCGTCGGCGCTACAGGCAATCATATCCAGACAGCAGCAACCAATCAAAAACAGATCCAAACGGAAACAGGAAACAACGCAGGGAGACCTTCAGCTTTATGCAGTGAGGAACTGTGTTATTATGAGCCCAAAACAATGGCCTGAGCTGAAATTAAAAGTGTTTTCACTTGAGTATTAATGCGGAGCACAATATAATTGTAATGACTGGGAAAGCAGAGGAGAGAACTACCCCTGAGAACTAAGGGGGGGAAACCCACAGTACGCATGAACTTACATTAGTGTTAGGAAGATGGCTCTCCTCAGGTGATCATGGAGTGCAGTGTGGTGAAATTCCAGCTTGTGATTCTGATGTGTGATCAGGAAGCCACGGCTGGTCTGATTTAGGATTACTTCACATTTCTGCGTTTTGTAACACTACAGCAGCAGAATGTTATTATGCGACAACACAAAAGGGACATTCTACACACCCGAGCTGACAGGTTAGACTGGTTTTACAGGGTGAATTAACAGAACTGATCTGTTGATATTTGTATCAGCATGGTTTAGAGGAACACCGGTATGGGTGAGTGAATTAATAAAGGGGAAAAAGAAGGCACAGTTTGTCGTGCAGAGGCAAAGTTGTAGCCACAGCTACGTCGTTAAGTATTAACCTGGATCGTTTTGCCCAATCATCAGAAGCCTGGTTTGAGACCCCGTTTGTAAACTTATATAAACTCCTGACAAGAATCCTTCTTGCAGGTGCCAAAATGCCTTGCTCACTGGCACATTTACAGCACTACTGTAGTATGACTGGCAATGGAGGTCTTTATCAGTAGGAAACACTAAAAGCTATGAAAATCCACTTAAAAGTCCAAAATGAAGGCCCTCTGTTACATTATCCAAAGCTGTCCAGTGGGCCGGATTAGAGTCTTTACAAGCCGATTCTGGTCCCCGAGGCTTATGTTTGACAACGCTGATATAGACATCACTGTCTCAAGTTATGCAAAACATCCCTTTCTGCGACGTTAGAGGGCAGCTGAGGGTAATGAAGCCTGTGAGATACCTGTGGTAATAATCACTCATCTTTAAAAAAACAACAAGTTCAAGGTTTATCGTACCGCCCTCGTGCCATTTATTAGCCATACTGCACACTGTGTGCAGGAACAGGCCGCAGGCCTCCATGACCCTGATAGTGATGGTCTGCTAATGTGAAAACAAAACATAAATAATGTTCTTGGTCATATTGTGCTCAACGCCCTGCTTCCAAGTCCAACTCTGAGTCCTTCACACGATGTGGAAATGCAACATCTGTGTTAAATTGTTTTCCTTTCCTGGCACTGTGATTGAGTGAAAGAAAGAAAAAATCTCAGAATAAAGAGAACAACTTTGTTGACAGTTCACACTTTCAAAATCATGAAGTGTGTTATGCTTTGTTCTGCTTGTGTTCAGCCTTGGACACAAACTGTGGTGCAAACCAGGGCCTCGCCTTAATCCTCAGATCTCTCCCAGGCTGAAATGTTAACAATTTGTTTCTGTGTGAAGACATTTTGGTTTTGTTCCTTTCTCCATGTGCACTGACAGCACCAACAGTTTTATTCAGATTGTAAAACAAACACTTCTTCCTGCTCAAAGTCCTGAAGAAGAAAAAGCAGCAGAAGCCCCATTAAACACACTCTTACTGCATTTACACCTCATTTCTATTTGCTTTGCAATACGCCTGTGTTGTATTACATTTAGCTTTTTAGATAAGTTATTCAACATACAATAGCTATCATATTTATTTACTGCATTTACTGTATTTTATTTAGATTTCAACATTTTTATATATTTTTTTATCTTTACTTAATATTTTATTTATATTTTTATTTATTTTTCCTTGAGATCCATATCCATTTTATTTAGATTTGACAGTCATACTGTTTTATATTCAAATTTTCATCCATCTAAAAATGCATTTTTATTATTTAACATTTTATTTACATTTTTATAGATTTTCATATCAATTTCTGTAATGATAAAGTGTTTTATTGCATTTTATTTACATTTTAGTTACCTTATTTTTTGTATTTAATCGAGTGCCTTTGTGCTGTGTAGTTTTTATTTTATTGATATTTTTGTCATTTTGTAGTTTGTGTTATTTTATTGCACTACACATTTACTCTGCTTCGTTTAAGCCATTATTGTACATGTTGTACTTTTGTACGTTTTGGATGCTGTAAAACAGAAACGTCCTAATTTATCCAATCCTATCTTGATCCTGATTACCAAAACCTGACGAAACACGCGATATTCAAACAGACCAAAAGAAGGCATGAAAGTGACAGAGACACCCAATAATACAAATACACACTTATTCAGACTGAGTGTAAAAGACCTTAAACAGTCACACACCGAGACATGACCATTGTTTGGACTGCGTCTTGTATCAATTACAGTGACATACACACCAGCACGCCAACCACATGACTCACTGCATGATGGGTCGTAAATGGTCTTAATAATTAAACTCTGGTGCCATAAAGTTCAAGATGTCAGCAGAAAAACAAAGCAAAGCAAAGTCGAGGTTTTAAGATTTAGTGCAAATTTAAACAGTTGGTGTATAAAAGAAGACAGTAGATAAAACACTGAACATGACTGCCGAGTGGTTGCAGTGATTGTGCTGAAACTATTTAACTCTCGGCTCTGTTAAAGCACACTTCTTGTTTATGACAGCGTGAGAGCAGAGTACACTGGCAGTGAAAAGAAAAAGAAAATCTGAGCTGAAAGGAAAACACTCTCAGTGACACAAACTCACCATTCTCAATCAAATCCTCCTCATCCAGCTTCTTAGTCCAGAACTCCCAGTGCATCTCTCCTCAGCCCCCCCTCAAACTCCCAAAACTTAAAATCCACAATCGGTTCTACGACTCAGACTGAAAACTGCCCACAGTCCCTCCTTTGGACTCCAACAGAGCGCCCCGAAGGCTGTTGAAGGAAGTGAATGACTGGCTAATCCGCCTGGGAAGTCTTTAATGACTTGCTGAGCTGTTTTTAAAGGTTTGTGAGCTGTAGCTGCTTGACGAAGGCAGATTACTGCGTAAAAATGAGATCACGTGTGTTTACAAGATCTTTCACCTCCTGAATGCTGCGGGACCCTGATAGCTGACAGGAAGAAAGGTTGTGTGGTACACAGTGCTGTGAAACAGGGTCAGGCTGTGAGTTACATTTACTCTCCATTCATTCTGTGAACGCAGTCCTCTTGAATATCAATTGCCGAACAGCTCGTGCTCTGATAAGCACAACTGACCTACAGGCAAAACAAAAGCCGTGAAAGAAATTTGAAATTTAAAAAGCTCTTTTCTACCTCAGACGGAGTGCTTTTAAAAAGGGGGGATAAAAGTCGACTAAACGAACGAATGAA